TCTTCATTGACTTCAGAGAAGAAGGGAGAGATAGAAACATCAATGATGAGAGAGAACCATTGATGGGCTGCCTCCTGCAGGCCCCCGCAACTCGAGCATGTGCCCTGGACTGGAATAGAACCCGGGACCCTTTAGTCCGCAAGCCAATGCTCTATCCACTGAGCCATACAGCTAAGGCACCCCCCCACACACACACACACACACACTCCTCCCTACACACACTTTATAGGAAGGAAGCCTGGGTCTCGGAAGGGACTGGGGCCCACAGAACTGGGTAGTGGGCAGAGTTAAAATGTGGACCCTGACACCTCTCCCTGGAGCCCAGCACTGTCCCCTTTGCATAAGTGACGTTCACCTTGAGAATAATAACAGCTTGTACCCCTGGGCTTGCATGTGCCGGCCACCCTGCTGAGGGCGTTCACTCCCAGCATCCCGTTCGGCAGGCAGGAGCCCTTTGATTCAGGATCAGCTGAGTATCTTCAGAGGCCAGAGCACAGAAAGAGATCTCGGGCCGGCCGCCGCCAGCACCCCACTGCCACCCGAGTCTCCTCCGACATAGGATTGCCACTGAGCTGCCAAATGCATAGAAGTCCCGGAGTGTCCTGAATTTTCACCCTCGGATAACTCTTGCCAGTGCATACTTCGCACTAGGCAAACATCAGATGATTTAACACTGCGACCTTGCGGGGGGTGGAGCGAGAGAGCTTTACTGGTGCCCTAAATTCTCGCTTAATTGGACTCTAGACAGTTAGCAACGCTTCAAGATATAGATTGTTTATTTCCACTGGGCAGAGAAGGGCGCTAGGGCTCACAATTGGACGTGAACTTGCCCCAAATCGCACAGCTCGGAAATGGCCTAGCTCTTATTCAGAGCTATGTGGGGGCTGCAGTAAAATCACTGATAACGCCCTAGCCGGTTTGGCTCAGTGGATAGAGTGTCTCTGACCAAAAGGTCCAGGGTTCAGTTCTGGTCAAGGGCACGTACCTTGTACCTGGGTTGCAGGCTCCTCCCCCGGGGGTCTGGTCCCAGAGCCTGCAGGAGGCAACCAATCGATGTGTTTCTCTCACATGGATGTTTCTCTCTGTCTTTCCCTCTCTCTTCCACTCTCTCTAAAAATCAATGGAAAAATATCCTCGGGTGAGGATTAAAATAATAATAAAAAAATAATAAAATAAATGTTAAAAAAATGAAATTACTAACAACCACCACAGCATACCAGTAGCAGTAATGAGCACATTTAACCCTCTAGGCCAGTGGTTCTCAACCTTCTGGCCCTTTAAATACAGTTCCTCATGTTGTGACCCAACCATAAAATTATTTTCGTTGCTACTTCATCACTGTCATGTTGCTACTGTGATGAATCGTCATGTAAATATCTGATATGCAGGATGGTCTTAGGCGACCCCTGTGAAAGGGTCGTTCGACCGCCAAAGGGGTCGCGACCCACAGGTTGAGAACCGCTGCTCTAGGCCCTGCTGTGTGGTTTACACTTAATCCTTCATGTAGGATGCCAGGGGCCCTATAACTGACAGGTCAGATTCTCCATCCCACCAGGGGCCCAGAGAAGGCAGATGGTCATCAGGCAGTGACAGAGACGGACCGTGAATGATCAGGAGCTCATAGTGGACCACAAGTCCTCAAAAAACAGCCTGTGTGAGGTGTTAGGTGTAGGGGTTATGGGACTTTGGAAGCCCCACCTCCTTCAGGCATGTTCCAAATGCCACCTTGTTTGTTAGTAATGCCTTCTGGTTGTCCACTATTTCAAATTTCAGCACCCATCTACTTCCCCACTCCCCCCCCCCCCCCCCCCCCCCAATCCTGGCAGGCCCCTTCCTTCCTTCATTTCTCTCCAGAGCACCTATTACCATCCACAATACAATATAATTTATTTGTCATGCTTATTTTCTGTCTCCCTCCACTAGAAAGGAAAGGCCATGTGGACAGGAGTGTTTTGGTTTTTATTAAAAATAGGAATTGCCCTAGCCCGTTTGGCTCAGTGGATAGAGCATGGACCTGCAGACTGAAGGGTCCCGGGTTCATTGCTGGTCAAAGGCATGTACCTTGGTGGTGGGCTTGATCCCTGGCCCTGGTCAGGGTGCATGTAGAGGCAACCAACCGATGTGACTCTCTCACATCGATGTTTCTCTCTGTCTCTCCTCCTCCCTTTCACTCTCTCTAAAAATCAATGGAAGCCGGGCCAGTGTGGCCCAATGGTTAAGCATTGACCTATGGGTTTGATTCCCGATCAGGGCACACGCCCGGGTTGCAGGTTCAATCCCCAGTATGGGGCAGGCAGGAGGCAGCCAGTCCATGATTCTCTCTCATCATTGATGTTTCTCTCTCTCTCTCTCTCTCTCCCTTCCTCTCTGAAATCAATAAAAAAAAATATACCTAGCCAGTGTGGCTCAGTTGGTTGGGTGTCATCCTGTGCACCAAAAGGTTGATGGTTTGATTCCCAGTCAGGGCACATGGCTGGGTTGTGGCTCAATTCCCAGTAGGTGCTGTGCAGGAGAGGAGACAGCCAATCGATGTTGTGTTCTCACATCTATGGTTCTCTCTCTCTCTCTCTCTCTCTCTCTCTCCTTCCCTCCCTTCCTCTCTCTCTAACAATCAATAAAAATATTTTTAAAAATAAAAATGAATGGAAAAATATCCTCGGGTGAGGATTAACAAACAAAAAATAAATTAAAAATGCCACCAATTGCCGAATATTAATTTTGTATCCTGCTACTTTGCCGAATTCATTTGCTAGATCTAGTGGTTTCTCGGTGGAGTCTTTAGGGTTTTCTATGCGCAATATCGTGTCATCTGCGAATAGTGACAGTTTTACATCCTCTTTCCAATCTGGATGCCTTTCCTTTCTTCTCGGTGGCTGATGGCTGTGGCCAGCGCTGACAGTACCATCTTCTCTAACAATCAATAAAAATATTTTTAAAAATAAAAATGAATGGAAAAATATCCTCAGGTGAGAATTAACAAACAAAAAAAAAAGAAATTAAAAATGCCGCCAATTTCTGGATATTAATTTTGTATCCTGCTACTTTGCCGAATTCATTTGCTAGATCTAGTGGTTTCTCGGTGGCGTCTTTAGGGTTTTCTATGCGCAATATCATGTCATCTTCGAATAGTGACAGTTTTACATCCTCCTTTCCAATGTGGATGCCTTTCCTTTCTTCTCAGTGGCTGATGGCTGTGGCTAGCGCTGACTAACTTGTTCCTGATTTTAAGGGAAACGCTTTTCGTTTTTGCCCATTAAGTATGGCGTTGGCTGTAGATGGACAGGGGTTTTGATTTGTTTTGGTTCACGGCTGGGTCCCGGCACCTAGAACAGAGCCTGCCTGGCACCCAGTAGCTGCTCAATAAATGCGGAGGAATGAGGGAGAGCGAGGCAGAGCCCCCGGCGAGGCTGGGAGAGCCAGGCAGGAGGAGGAAGAGCTCCCAGGGCTGCTCGCGAGGGTTCAGACACCCCTGCCCGCCCTCTGACCCGCCCCTCTGCGCCCCCAGGACCCCCGGAACAAGCACAAGTTCCGCCTGCACAGCTACAGCAGCCCCACCTTCTGCGACCACTGCGGCTCCCTGCTGTACGGGCTGGTGCACCAGGGCATGAAATGCTCCTGTGAGTGAGTCTGCGCTCGCTGCTCCAGCCAGAACCGGGGTGGCGGGGTGGGGATGGGGGGGCGCGCATCTGGGGCCCCTGCAGAAGCGCAGCATCTGGCTTCGGGGAAACGCCGGGGAGTGGAGCCCCGGGTCCCGGGCGGGGCCT